ATTTAGTCATGCATATTAACCAATGACTTAAATTCTGACAAGTCACTGGTTTTCCTGGCTAGCTCAGGCAACCCATTCCATGCTCTAATAGCACTAGGGAACAAAGAGTATTTGTGCAAATTTGGTGGATAACCTCCACCACTCATTGAATCCATCTTTGGATTTAAATGAAGATTTGGTACTTGATCTTGTTGAGAAGAGTATGCAGGGGAAGCAAAATAAGGATTATTTTTGTTTAGCTAATAACACATCCACTTTCTAAGAACTTTCTCGCCGTTTGAGATTTGTGGAAAAACCAAGCCTTTGAAAGCTTTCTAGCCTTTCCTTTTGCTAATTCTTGATGTCTATACGTATCTCTGAATTGACTGTCCATACGCTGAACTGTTTTAGATCATTGAGTGACAAGGTGTATGCGAATATTATCTGTGATGACATCAGGCCTATCTCCAATGTCGTTCAGTCTAGAGTTTATTATCCAGCTTTCTGTATTATTTACACTGTCTGATGGTTCAGCTTCTTCAGTATGAATTTTTGAGGAGTGTACTAAAGACATGCTTGTGTGCTGTCCTTTAGTCTCTAGAACCTGCGGTATTGAAGTATTTTCTTCTTTTTCATCATTCAGGATGTCGGCCTCATCATTTTTTTTTCTGGATTCAATGATAACCGTCTCATCTTGCTTTGTTGCTTTTAATTGTTCAGTTAATTCATACCCAATAACAGCTCGCCTATAGTCGGTGGACTCTGGCAATGATGTGACTTGAAATTGTCTCGATGCTTCTTTAGACTTAAGACATTTAAGAAACGCACCTCCCTGCGGTCAAAGAAACTGCTTTATGCGGATGACATTGTCCTCTGGTCAACCGGGAAGAAAGCCGACCAAATACAGGCGGCATTACAAGCAGACATCCAAACCATCTCCTCGTATTGCGACGAATGACAGATTCAGATAAACGTTGCCAAAACGACCTGGTCCCTGTTCAGCCTAGGGATCGACATTCTTAAGGCTCCATTCAAGCTTAAACTCGGTGGGCTGCGACTCCAACGTGAAAACACGCCAAAATATCTAGGGGTAACCCTGGATAGAAAGTTGTCAATGTTCCAGCACGTCCAGGAAGTTGAAAGAAAAGCCTCGGAGAAGTTAGCGTTACTAAGAAAGCTGGCCAGCACAAAGTGGGGTGCCAAAGCTTACATGCTACGCACATTGTACTTAGGGTCAGTCAGATCACAAATTGAGTACAGCTATACAGTTCAAGTATATGCTAGTAAAACTGCCCTCGAATCACTCGACCGAGTACAATTACAGGCACTAAGGTTCATTTGTGGCACCTTTCGGACAAGCCTAACAAACTCTGCTGAAATCTTAACAAACGTGGCCCCTTTACATTTAAGGAGGGAGACGGCGGTAATTACGGCCTACGAGCGCTACAAAAGGGGCGACTCTAGGCTACCCACCACAATCTTAGTGCAACAGTGAAGAGAAAGGAACCGCATAAAAATGCTATCGTTCCTCCACATTGCGGCCAATTTGTCAACATCAGCTGGGCTCTCCACTGATAGAATTCCTATTAGAAGAATTAGTACTTGCTCTCCGTGGAGGAGAATGCCGGCCCCACAAATAAATATGTCCCTTATAGGGCAAGAGGGAGCCACTAAGAGGCGATTAACACCTGCCATACTCCAAAACTTGGCATCAGCTACACTAAAGTCCTACCCATCAGATGCCATTTTCTGTTATACCGATAAGTCGGTAATGAGGGACCCCGATAGATCTGGGTATGGGGCCTTTATAGTCTACCCAGACCGGACAGAACCAGAGATGCCGATTTCTCCGTCTGAGCTTAAGAGGGTTTTGAGGCGCCAGCCAGACTAGTCAGTCTTGACACTGTTCATCATTTTGTTTAAGTTACAGTATTACAATTAACTAGTTAGTTAAAAAAAAAAACTCGTAGAAAACAAAGGTTAGTTTATTTAAAAATATTGACGTTACAATAGAATTATTTCCAAAATTAAACTATAAAGAATCATAAAGAAATGAATAAACTAAGAAAATTATTTAGAGCTAGAGTTTAGTAATATATTTGTAAATTCTATATCTAGATTAAACCAATGGACTAAACAATGAAGTAAAAAAAGGTTGGCCTATCTTCTTCTTTATATTAAAGAGCATTGATCAGTGTAGTAACAACATGTACCGTGTGTCCGAAATAAATCTAGTCAATTAGATTCAAACTGTTCTATAGCTTACATTGTATGGAAGAAATAGTCAAATAGATGAAACAAAATAGCGACATGACTAGTTTATAAATCGTTAGTTCATGTTTAAAATACAGTAGTTGATGTTTGCTCGTGTCCTTGCAATTAGTCGTTTTTACTGAAACGCTGATGGAAATAGGAAATTAATACACACTGGGGGAATTTTGGTATCCCTCTCCACTTGGTGCCCTGTGCGGCCCGCACCACCCGCACATTGGTAGCTACGCCACTGGTCCAAACCTCCCGCGGTATGACGAGGGATTGCGAGGAACAGGATTCAAACCCGAAATTATCGAGACGACAGTCATGAGCGCATACCATTCGACCAGGCAGTCATCTTATTTCTACACACACACGTTTAACCCGTGAATTCTAGTGACCCTTATTAATAAAGTAAATCTGCCTAGGACGATCTTAAGATGAAAAAGGAGGAGGGTTGGGCGTAGGGCTAACCTGTGGAAAAACCACAAGCTACAGAAACACTAAAAAGCAAATCAACAGAAGTCACGGACCTGGGAAAAGATGTAATTCCGACGGGAAGGTGTTATGACGCATTTCAGAGAGAACCTGAGTCATCTGGAATCCCACATGCCAAAGACTATCGTCTCCACAAGGAACCCACCATCGGTACAAGGAACGTCCAATCACGTATGACAGTGGTGATACAGTGCAAGTGGCAGCAGAGATGACAAGCTCAATATTTTCACCATCTTAGGGATCAGTGAGTCAAGATGGACTGGTTTCGGGCAGAAGCGACTGACTTCAGGAGAGCTAAGTTTAATCTCAGAGCATGAGAAGCAGGTTATTCACCCAGGGAGTTGCCCAGATGCTGTCCAAGCGGACTCAGAGAGCACTTATTTGGGTTGTCAGAGCCTGGTTAATAACAGCCTCGTTACACACAAAGAATAAGAGAATTAACTCAGATATTATCCAATGCTACGCCCCAACCAATGACAATGAAAAGGAGAATAGAGACATTTTTTTTTACAACAGACCTGAGAAGAACATCCTCATCATAATGGGCGACTTCTACGCTAAGGTTGGATATAACAACAGAGAATATTAGGAGATCATAGGAAAGCAGAGACTAAGCGAGATGAAGGATAATGGAAAGACATTCGCAAACGTGTGCCACAATCAACTAGGTGACTGAAGGAACTGTCTTCCCACACAAACGTGTGCCACAATCAACTAGGGGATTGAAGGAACTGTCTTCCCACACAAACGTGTGCCACAATCAACTAGGTGATTGAAGGAACTGTCTTCCCACACAAACGAATACACAAAGCAAATCACTAGACCTGTCAACACAAAATTACTAAGTATTGTGAAGACGTTCCGTCGCTCTTTTTAGGATGTACGCACCAAACGAGGAGCAGATGTTGATTCAGATCATCTTCTGGTCGCCCGAGTGAAGCTGAAGTTAAAGAAGAGTTTGAAAGGATGATCCAGCCAACGCCAACATTATAATATCCTTGCGCTGAAAGACTGGAAAAAACAGGAAGCGTTCAAGGTCACTCTATCAAACAAGCTCCAGCTAATAGAAGAGGAGACAACAGAACAGACGTGGCAGAAAGAAACAGAGACCTTCAGATGCCAAGAAATAGTGGGTTCCAAATCAAACACCCTCAAGGAGTGGATTTCAGCAGAAACTCTTCAGAAGATCGATGAAAGAAGAGATAAGAAATCAGGCGTGAACAACAGTAAAACAATAGCAGCAAAAGCACAAAAAGAATATGCGGAAGCAGATGAAAATGTCAAGCGTAGCGTCAGAACAGACAGACGGGGCTACATTGAAGCACTGGAAACAAAAGCAGAAGCCCTTCATAACAACACTTAAAACTGTACTCTGACATCAAAAAGAAAATTTGCTAAGCAAAAAGGAATAGTAACAATGGAGAAGTGATTGCAAATAAAGAAGGGCAGAAGAAGAGGTGGGTCGAGCATTGCCAGTAGCTACTGCAAACCAACCAGGCATGACTATCAAATGCAATGCACCCACTAAGGGTGCAGCGCAATCAATCAGTTGAAGAACGGCAAATCTACAGGACCTGGCAGCATCCCAGTTGAAGCGCTAAAGGCAAACATTGATACCAATGTGAAGCTACTCATCCCTCTCGTCTGCAAAGTATGGGGAAAAAATGTAACTCTCATCTCTACGCCAGTTTTATAAGACTTTGCGAAGACGTTCACCAGCATGAACAGACATACCCTCTGAAGACGACTGAGGCACTATGGAGGGCCTAAAAAAAAAAACAATCATCAGGAAATCTTATGAAGATAGCCTATGAATAGTACAATGGTGCAAGGTAGACGACTTCGAAGTCCAAAGAGGAGAGAGCCAAGGTTGTTTACTCTCTCTAAAAGAACGTGTCACGAAGGCAGCAACAGGACAGAAGCGGAATGGTATGAAGTGGACACTGTGAAAACGGCTAGACGACCGGACTTTGCAGATGACCTGACTCTTCTTTCTCACACACAACAGTAAGTGCACCGTTTATGAAAGCGTGTAAACAAACACATTTGTATATAAAATACCTTAGTTTTGTAAAACCATTGGCTAATTAAATAATATGGCAGTAAAATAATGTACAATTGTGGTATTAGTTATCTTCCAGGCCCTTAATACGCCAAGAAAGATTCTTATTGCTTGTCAGAGGGTACTTGCCACATCATCATAAAATTCCCTAAGCTGCAGACTTGCCAAATCATCATGACATTCCTTAAGCTGCAGACTTGCCAAATCATCATGACATTCCTTAAGCTGCAGACTTGCCAAATCATCATGACATTCATTAAGCTGCAGACTGGCCAAATCATCATTCAATTCCCCAATGAACACTGCTAAGGAGACTGCAATGAATTTGATTTCCCTTCAATTATATTTATTTATGATCCAGGCAGTGCCAGATTGACTTCATTTTTCAAACTAATATTACAACAAAGAAAGAAACAAGCTGACCAGAGACAGTAGAGAGGGAATGAAGAAAAACAAACAAAACACTTTGACAGTTTCCTTTCAACACTGAGAACCATTTCATTATTTTATTGTTCAATATTCTATGTCATTAAAAGCCTTGTAAACATCCATTCACTATTTTTAAAACTACACTGCTTCAAATGACAACAATAACAAATAAATAACTACAACATTAGAAATCATAAGTCCAATCATTATCATAACAGCCAGAGTTATAGGACTTCATTACACTGACATCGATGCTAGATCTACTTATCAAACTAGAAACGGCTCATTAACATAAACATTACATTTTTGTCAGTATGTTCCCATTCAAAAATAAATACAAATAAAAAAAAAGAGACAGTTGTAATGTTTTATAGCAGTTTCCAAACTTAGGGTCCTTACTAATTGTATAAGGGCAGTGTCAAATTTATGGGTCACAAGTATCAAGCTTACAAAGTTTTTTGTCTTTGGTTGTCCCTAAATTTTTAGCAAAAAGGTTATACTGGCAATATAAAAGATTATGTAAAGTTGATTGCTTTGTTTACAGTAATATTAAGTTTCCGGTGTATAAGAATATGAAAATTATATTTTATTTCTGTGGCATTTTACGTCTTGAGACTAAAGAGGCCACGATCAATCTGATGTGCTTGCTAGCATGTCAACAATTTATTCAGTTATTTCATTTTTACTAAGAAAGTCAGATTTAGTAAGTTAAACATAAAAAAACCCCCACAACTCTCATGAGCACTCATCAAACATTGTTTAAACTCTTCTCTCTGATCTGACACTGTACACCAACTCTTGAAAAAAAAAAAAACAAAGGGGGGGGGGGATAAAACATGGTGCTCAGAAATTTTGCAAAACTTTTTCTTCTTAACCTAAAGAATACTGAAAACAAAAAAAAACCTACTAGGGGGAGAAGAGATTGTGAGTTATTAGCATTTTCTAAAAGCAAAACCAATAATCTAAAAAATAAAAAAAAAAAACTTAGACAAGATAGTGTTTCGGTATTTTCTAAACTGAAAAAGTTTGGTTTTCTTATTTATATAATTGTAATGTTTATAAAAAAACATTAAATTCTACCATATTATTCAATGACAACTAATATGCAGAAAAATATTCTATTGTACCTTAAGAAGGTTATTAAAAACATAGAACAATAAATGGAATGAATGACGGCAGAAACAGTTTGAGGAAATGTTTGAATAAAAAAAAAACAACTTAGTATGAAAACAGAATGATCATTCTTTTTGTAAGAAGTTGTCAGGAGATGTACATCTTTATTGGATGTATTAATAAAGTGAATTATAAGTGCAAGAAAGATGTTTATCTTTATATAATTTGTTCATAATTTTTGAAAATAAAATAATAAAAAATTGGCAGGATGCTTATTTTTTTTTACAGTGAAGTAATGCATTAAACCTGGTTATTATTTAGCATAAGAAATACATTGCCTTTTTTATTGCAACCTAAATCTTCAAATTGTGAAAACTGTACCAAATAGAATTGATCCTTCGAGTAGCATTATCAATTACCAACCATATTTACTTGCTTCACATAAAAGTTGCACAAAGCATTGTAGAATTATAAAAAAAAAAGCTCCCAACCATAAAGAGAACCCAGGATTCAAATTTTCTACATCACATTCCAAGATAAGTAAATTACTAGTTTAAAAGAAACAACAGCATGATCATGATGGATACAAAAAGGTTAGTGCATTAAATATTTGTTCATATATTCCATAGGTTTTAGCTACCCTCCAATCTGGATACAGAAATATATAACAGGATAACAGATAACCAATGAAGAATTAAGACTATAAAGAATTACAGGGTAAGCAACCCAGTAAACAAATTTAATACCACTATACACATACACACAAGATTGATCAAATTCTAACAATCTTGTATCACATAATGATCAATGATTTCATCACAGTTTGACAAGAAAAAAATTATAACATCAATAGAAACATTACAATAAACAAATATGAAGAGAAAAAAACAAGCTTTGGAAAGAAAAAACAATACAATTTTTCTATCTAAATATGCTTAGCACAATCCATGTGATTTGCAATAAACAAAAAAAGCATTAAACTCATCACATTAACATTTAAAACTGAACTACCAAAGTAACTGCTGATGATGGCAATAGTTGTACAAGCCCAAAATTATGAGTTATTTGGGATGAAAGTGTAGCTATTTAGACTAGCATTATTTAACCTCTTCATTAAAAAATTTTGAAGGGCAAGTCAAGTTTTCATTTGTTACTGATATAACAGAAGTATGCAATTTATATACTGATGCAGATGGAGTCTGACTAGTCATTTAAAACTAACAGTTCTAGTACAAGGGAAATAAAATGTAAAAAGGTTAAAAATTGACCGGAATATTTAAATGGATATGTAGATTAAGATACTAATTTGGCTACACAGTATACAATTCATGTAATAATAATTGAGTAAAACAAATATATTATTGCAACATCAGAAATAACAAAAAAATAAATGGAATAGTGAAAATGTTATATTTACAGTATACTGTTCAAGCAGGTACATGGGCATTATCAGAGCCCTTAGAGTATTATTATTTCATAAGCATTCGACAACAAAAGAGAACAAAATATATAGATCTATTCATGGAACTATGACAAATTGTTTATGTCCATTGTCATACAAGACCAAAATGCTGGGCTAAAATGGAGCTTTTAGATTGTCGTCTAGCCCTATCAAATATCAATATTTCAATTATATTGTTTATTAACTCTTTTGTGTGCCTGCAATAAAAATGTCAAAAGGAATACATGCATTGAAAATATTCATAATGATTTTTTAATGATAAATGTTTTACATTTCATAAAATGAACAAAGCTAACTGATGCCCTGTATAAAATGATGACACAGACAGCTGCATATTTAGTAATGTAAAGAACATAACCAAAACCACAGACAATGAGTTAAGTTTGTTGAATAGATCTAGACCAACAACAATAAATCTGTGAGGTTAATAAAATTTGTATCCATTGTTTTTGTTTAGCGCTATTATTTCATGCTTTTAGCTTTCTCATTACCCTAAGATCCTATCATTTTATCTGGACCAGACTGGACAAAGGTGGGAGGGAAGAAAGAAAAGGATTTTGCTGTAGTTGGTTTTTAAATGCATTTCCAGGAAAAAAAAAAAAGGGGAACGACCTGAATTCAATTGCATGGCCAATGTCGCCTTAGGCAGATGTGCTAACCATTTTAATGAGATACTTATGACTAGAGAAGATTGTATAGTTATATATTGTTGTTTCAATTTAGAGCGGCGACCTATATTCAGCTTACACCACCATTTCAGTTAAGTACAATTTCTTTCCCTTGTTCAAGATACCAAGCAAAATAATTAATTATTAATAGTTAATTAACTAATTGTTTTTTTTTTAAAACTGATTCTATAATTAGCATTTATAAGAAATAATTGTGCAAAGTTTCAGCTTTATCTGAGATTGAATGTCAGAGAAATAATGCATACACAAAGACAGACAGAGTTGATATAAGCTTTGTAAAAAAAACAACAATTGTGAGACAATCTGACTTTAAAAATAACATTGGCAGATTCATTTTTATTATATTGTTCACTATTATGTCAACCTAGTCACTTGTGATAAATTCACTATATCAACACTGAAATTTCAATGCATTTCGAGTAACACTTGAACCATTAAAACAATTATGTATTCAATATAATGATAAAAAAAAACAACAATTTTTGATGAAGTAAAAGGAAAGACCATTTAATGACACTTGTCTACCTCAGAGTCCATTAGAAACCCTTCAGAGAAATCTACTAAACATTTCAACACTATTTCAAATCTTACTGTTTGATATAACATCTATTTCATACTCTTTAATATTTCATGTATGTTTCACATTTTCAAAAATCACATTAACAATCTAAATGTGTGATTTGAAAAAAAAAACAACAATTTAAAGTGATACCTTTCAAATGATATTACATTTAAGTCACAATTAGGTTAATAGTATAGAACTAGATGACTAGTTGGTTTTATAATAAGTAAATTAATAATATTATCATACTGGTCTCTTAGGTACTGGGGGTGGCACAACAGTGGACCTATTGGGCACTGGTGGAGGAACACCAGGGATGTCTCTTGGTGGAGGAGGTGGTACCCCTTCTGGAATGGAGAGTTGGGGTTTGAATGACACAGTCAGAGTGGAGGGGAGTGGGGGTGGACTCATGTTAGGGGCCTGGAAGTCACTCTCTGGGGAGGAAGCTGAGAAGGGTGTTGCCCAGTTGGCCATGCTAGGCTGACCACTACTATGTACATGCCTTGTATCAAAGGGATCATATTCAATTTTAGAAAAAGCATTTTCAAAAGCATTGTCAATGGGATTAGCTTGAGTGATTCGATTCACCCTGCTTGTGTCAAATGGATCATTCAAATCAGTACCAACAGGGTTAGGTCGAGGAACTTTTCGTGCGTATGTGGTGTCAAAGGGGTCTGGCTCAGAGGTGTCTCCTTCAATCAGGCTATTGTCTCTGTCAAGGAGGTGAGTATTCCCGTCAGATATGTCATGCATTGGAGAGTTTTTACTACTGTGAGTAGGAGAGACCTTGTCCAACTGCCTAGTTGGACGAACTGGGGGTACAGGATTAGCGTTGGATGTAGAGGTGGGTCTTGCTGGAGGAGGAGGGGCTGGCCGAGCAGACGCTGGATGTGGGGGCAGGACTATTACACTGCCTGGCCGTTTTGCTTGGGATGATGGAGTCTCACTTGGTGAAGCATCACTCGTAAAAGCCATGCTCTGCACTTCTCGCCGAGGGGCAGGTCTAGGCTTAGCCAAAGGAGCTGATCCCCCTGCTGCCTCCACTGGTGCATCTCGATCAAGGCTTTGTTTCCTGGGAACTGCTTGAGGAGGTGCTAATTCAGATGCTGCAGATTCACCAATATCTTGAGATGTTTTACTCCTAGCAACAGATTTTGGAGCACCCAGTTGATTCCATCCTTTAAAAAAAATAATACAAATTGTGAACAGAAATAGATTTTACAATGTGTGAATAACTACCAAAAAGCTTGATTCAAATTTAATTACAATTATTTTCAAAGTTTATCCAATGTGAATTTTTTTTTATTGCTTCTTTATTCCTCAAAAAAATCTAAAATAAAGTTTGAGTATGCTAATGACAACCCATTTTTTTTTTACTTATATAAATGTCTTGACTGTCTGCAGCAGTGTGACCAAACTATGAACAAGGAGGCCAGGGCTTTCTGGATCATAGAAAATTTTATCCACTACATAATGACATGACAGATGTTCAGTTCCACTGGATTAAAATTTTTTTTGCAGTAATAAGTATTTAAAAAGTGTTTCAGAAATTCATATGACCTCCAAGCCCAAATAACTCTGGGCACCATCCCCCTGCAGTATATATCAATTTTTTATTATTATTATTATTTATTATTCTCTCTTCTTTATATATTAAATTTTTGATCTTGTTCAAGGTTGGTGTTAAAGAAAGACAAGATAATGTTCTACTTTATGGCTGTATTCAAGATTTCAGTCAAACTAATAATATTTTGAGCTGGCTTCAAAAACGTAACTATTCCATTTTTGACAGCTACTGTTTGAAAAATCTACTATATTGCCTCTGCATCTAGCCCTATGTTTATGCAGTGGGTTGTACAACAACTTCAAACAAATAAACACATTAAAGTGAATGTAAAATTTTACCAGAACTGAGGTTAGTTTCAGACTTGGATGGAACCAGAGCAGCAGGAAGGCATGTATTATCCTGATCAGAGTTGTTGACAAGTAATTTCTGTATGAGAG